ATTAATACGAGAACCAGAATTGAAAATACAGGCACACAGGATGATGATTAGAAAATGTTTTTTTTTTTTAGATAATTAAGATTTTGTTGTCAAGCTCCGAGCGAAGGGAAAAAGTGAAATATTTTTATTAGTTCACGTTAACGCCACCCAAGGTGATGTCGTTTTTTTTTGAGATAATACAGATTTTTATTATCGGCCGGAGGAGAATTAAATATTTTGTTGCGTCCAGAGAGACGCCGACAGGTCTAAGAAAATCCATTTCTTAGATCGTATCCAATTAGCGGTAGGCTGTTTTGACAGATACCGCGTGTGAAAGAAACCGATAGCGTCATTCGATCTGGTACGAAAAGGGCAATTTAAATTTTGTTTTTTTTAGCAAGGTGTTTCTCCCCCCAGAATAAAGCCACGGATTGTCCACGCCCGATTAGAGACGTCACGAAGGAAGGAGGAAAGATACCGACCAGAGTCTCATTGGCCGAGGGCGGTCACGTGATGTGCGAGGGAGGAGGAAAGATGCCCGACCAGGACCCCATTGGTCGAGAGCGGTCACCTGACATACGAGGGACCAGGGGAAGCGGGTATACGCCCCCCCAGAGGCACAGAAAGGAAGTAGGAGTGAAAGTAAGTTACCGATAATGGAAAATCCCTAATCAGAAATAATACGTCTTTAGAATTATCAAGAAAACCCTGGCGCCGACAGACCCACCCCAGTTTTTGACTGCCTCAATAAAAGCAGGACCCCAATCGACAGAAATCAGTTGGGGTTGCGCCTCGGAAGAAGAAGTTAAGTTGGAGTTGCAGCGCGGACGGCGGGCCCTGTTCATTAGTCCCCTTTGCGGCAAGACCCAACTCAAGCCGAAGTGAATAAGCTCGTCCAGCCGAAGGGAAGAAGTAAATTCGCGCACTGACGGCAGAGATGAGTGAACAATAGTTCAGACTCTGAGGAGAGAGTTAGTTACAGCCACGGACGACGAGAGAGATCAGCCGTGAACGACAGGTAGAGATCAGCGCCCAGTGTCGAAACCAAACCACACCCCGAAATGCAAAATTCTAGAGAGCAGGCAACTCGAAGCCTTAAAGTTGTATGGTAGAAGCTTGGTGCCAGAGTCCACAAAACGGGTCGGGAGGTAGGAATAATCTTGTGTAACGAACATTTAGATATAAAAAGTTGTTACTTTTTTCTTCAATAATTTTTGACCTTGTGAGTTTTTCTTTTTCTTGTGTGTTATCACCCCCGTCGGACTCAGCTTGCATACGGCCCCAATCCCTGTTTGATCCCGTCTGTCTAAGATCTAATCACAACGTGGGTAGGCAGACCGGAGATCAGTGCAGTTACCCTAGTAACCAGGCGTTGGAAGCGAGTTGGGAACGACGAGGCTGGTATTCATCTAACCAAAGGGTTAGAACGTCACACTTGGAGCAGCGAGGAGCGAACAGCTGACGCCGCGGCAAAGACGTCACAACTGGTGTCGTGACCATAGGATCAGAACCCTGGACCACGTCACGTCACATTTGGCGCCGCGAACGAGATCGAACGACAGAGTCGACGCTGCGACCAGGGGGGCGACGTCACAAAAGGACGTTGTTTGGTTGGTTGTTTGTTTGTTTTTTAGCGACATATCAACACCGCTGTAGGTTATTTAACTCTTTTCTCTTTCCACACCCAACAACCCTTTTGTGTCTTAGAGATTGGCATGGAGGTGGGAATCGATTAAAAACAGCTATTGATAATCATAATAAACATTTTATTGACATAAAAGTTCTTCACCTTTTTATTTACATTCTAAATATTTATTTCCTATATCTGAAAAAGATACAAAGGTAAAATTAAAAAGATGGCTACCTTAAAAAAAACGTTCTTTTCCTGATCTATAATGCCTATAAATCCAATATATTTACAAATAATATTCCTCCCCTTTGTCTACTATCGAAGTCGTTTTTTATAATATACACCCTTGCATATTTTTCAATGAAACATGACCAAGTTCAAATGTTAGTACTTCGTACGTCTATTCCACGAGATCGTTCCTTGCAGACTGAACACAGATTCTCGATTGGATTTAAATCAGGAGAGTTTCCGGAACAGGCTATAGTACTTTGTTTTCCTCACTGGTAAAGCTTGCCGGTATGTTCGTGCACTGTTTTTGTACGCTTCCTTGGAGTAACATCTATCGCAGGATAACTAATCGACACTCGAGACAGTTGTGTCTGAGCGTGATGAAAATCTGATGCAATCACAGATGACACAATATTTTTTTATGCCAACAAATTTCATCATACACCTCGAAAATAGATTCATATTACTGCACACCACTGCAAATGCCGCATTCTGAGGGGAAAAATACATTACAAACTGTCACTTCATTGGGTCTAAAACTGGCCGTATGGTGAAAGAAAGAAAACTAAAACTACTTAATTTGTATAAGACTGTAAGAAAGGACATTACGAAAATAATAATTTTTCAGCTTTAAGAACTCTTTTTAAATCACTTATTTTTATGCATTGTTTGACTTTAGCTCAGTATTCATGTTTAATATATTCAACAATGTGTCTTCACCAAAAAGGTGATGGTGGTATAAAATAATTCTACACATTATCAAGTGACGACAATCACATAATCAGTTTTCCTTCAAGACAGACACCTGCAGAAGTCCTGAGGATACAGCAGCTAGAATTATGTTAATATTACCAAGAAAAGCATGATAGTAATGCCTAGTATAATGATAATTCTTGGTTTCAAATTTTAAAAGTAACCATGTTTGTCAATTATCGACAATGTTTGTAAATAGTGCTGCCAAAAATAAGCTTACACAGAGATTAATATATTCTAGATAAAATAAGTATTTTACAATGGTACAAGTTTTTTTTTTATATTTTACTATTGTAAAGAGTTATCTCCGTAGATTTTTGCGTCCATAGAACGTATTTCTTCTTCTATGTACCACGTGCCTTCGTGACGTTGTCGGTGATGGTTCTCCACAATTTCCAATCCTTAAAATATTTTTCTCTTTGTTATTTCTCCTAAACCCAATTCCGCTATCAATTTGCTTAAGCTCCCTAAATCAATTGTATTCCACCGTACATCTTGTTTTTAATCTGCCCTGAGAGTATTGGACTTACCAAGCTGTTCCTCGTTCCTTATTATGTGCTCTAAAAATTTCAGCTGTCTCTTCTTGGTGTTAAGTACAAGTTTCCTTTTTGTTGCCATTTTCCCTAAAATGTCATTGTTACTCAAATTCTGTCCACGGTCACGTGTTATAACCTTAAGTCAAGATTAACTTGAGGTGAGTTTGTGAGTGTCAAAGGTTTCTGCAAAGAGGATCCTACTTGCCTATAGTGTTGTCAAATTTGATCAAACGATTTGAAATAAGAAGACCTTTAACCTGGTTCATGACCTTATTTTTACCAACAAACATTCTGAGGAAAGAGAGATCTGATAGTGAAATCGATAAAATTTGATATTGTGTATTTCGATAGTCCTACCACAAAGAGAGATCAAATGTTTATAAAAAGACATACTTTACTTTGCCATCTCTTTAGTTTCAGATTCAAAATATGGGTTAAATATATCGTCAAACTTATTTTATTAAATACAACCTAAATCTGGTTCCTTTACAAGTGATAATTAAATTGACAATATGAATAGGCAATAATCTACACATAATATTCTAGGACTTTTGTTAGTCCGTCCGCCAGTACGGCACACCCTTTAAAATGACCATACTTAGCCGATCGAAACCAAAGTACATTTCGTTTTTACTCGGGTGCATAGCTTGGTACAATAATTTTTATTAATTTTTTTTGTTTTTTTTTTTGGGGGGGGGATTAAAAGTATTATTAGTTAAAATACAAAATACTCCGGCGATTTAAAAAAATTGATAATTAAAATAACATGCTTATTTAATAAAAATGCAATATTTTTTTTTTTACATATCATTTCTTAAAGTTTTTAAAAGCAAGAATTCAGTTTCCAGTTCGCCCTGCGTTTGCGAAAACTATAAACCAAATCACAAGGCCAAATGCTTCAAAAAATTTGAATTTGGTTAAAAAAAAAATACTTACGTATGGCCAGTTGTATAGTGCATAGTCAAGAGTAAGAAATCCTAGGAATTTATTTTTCGCTGTTAAAATGGAAAAAGAGAAATTTTTTTGAAATATTGTTTATCATGACGTCCTATGAAATTAAATTGAATTCAAGTAATTATTAAACCTCGGAAATAAGGTTCAAAGGTTAAATAAAGAAGGGTTAAAGTATTTTTCCAAATAAATCAGTTTTATTCAAATTCTATCGATTGGTTTGCGAAATTGAACGAAACGTAGAGTTTGTAAATCTCGACAAAAAAATCAACAGTACTAATTACCGTTAGGTTTTCAAAGCGTATCAAATGTGTTGCAAAGAACATTCTAGTAACTGAGAAATGATCAGAGATTAATGTTTGTCGCATGGAATCGTTAAGAAATAACGTGGTGGTTGTGTTCGAAGCCAGTTACATCACAGCCTGAAACCTCTGAGAAAAATTGAAAGGACATAAAAGCTTTCTACAGTTTCATTGATGGTGTAATCATTTCTTTTCGAGATCCATAAATACTATGAAACCAGGAGACTTAGAAACGATATCCGCTCCCCCCACACACACAGCGTCATGGCTATCATAATCGCAAATCACGTGCTCTATAGTTAACGTCAAAGAGTTTTTGTTTTTTTTTATATCCGATCGTTCCTCCTCTCGACGACTTCCTCGTTTCTTGCCGCATGCTTCCCATTAACTTTACTGAATCAAAGCCTATGCCAAGACTGAAGTGACCATTACGAAAAATCAGAAATGCATTCTCCACCGCTTGCTTCATTTTCTGATCATCCATGCAGATAAGGAATCGTACAGAAAAGGCATTTCCGTTCAGAACCCAACACTGGCACCATCAACAGGCATTTACTCAATCCGCCTGCAATAGATAAATGTTCAATTCGTATAAAAGCTTCGGGCAAGCCTTTATAAGACGGAGATAAAAGAAAGACGGGACGTCATAATGAGCCATTAGGAATATTTTACAGAAATTTATTCTCTGAAGACCTTGGTCAATGAGTTGCATCAATTCTGATAAAACAAGTTGAATATCTCGATTAATATAACTTTTTCTTTGTATTTTCGATTCCATGTATAACTAGATTACATTTAGCTTTCCCCAAGGATTTGGAGGTGACCCAAGGCTGGTTTCAAATGTGGCGTCCATACGTATACATATTGCATAAGTTTAAAACTTTCCAGTCAATGCGACTACGCTTACGTTTCTGTCGGTATCCACCAACATCCCTATTTAGAGAAATGAAACAATCTCTATAACTAGTCTTCCCTCGTAGTGTAGAGAAAAGAACAGATACTACACCGGGATCCCACTCCAATGCTATTTACTCACCTTCTCATATATGTGCGCTAAAGACAATAATTGCTTCCTCCTCGCGATCACTGTCAAGCTGACGTCGTCATGCACAAAACTTTAGTTCAATGAGGGTGGTGCTACCGATCGTTGGAAACCCCGAGAACAAGTTTCACTTGTAATCTTAAGAGATGCGGTGAACTGATACCCCTATTTTTATTCCTATTTCTAAAGTCGAGTAATGTCGGTTTGATTGTATATCCTCACGGTGGTAGTAGGTGTGACAAGGTTCGGTTAATGTGGGGTAACGTGCATAAAGTACAAGAGAAACATTTCCTATATCTTGGAAACACTGCCAAGCTGTCCTAGTTTCCTCTCAGTTTGTCCTCATTCGTTTAATGAGGGTTCTGCTACAAATCATAATACCCTAGCCAAAGATCTCCTTATTGTTTGGAAATACGAACAGATATTACGTTATTATATTCACGAATACAAGGATTAGGTTATTCTATTGATGACTAAAATAACAATAATTATTTTTAGCTCATTTCGGTGGAAAAAGAAATACCATATTTGACGCCTGCCTATGATTTTATTTCTTGGGTCATGAGGAGAATAGTATTTCAAAGAGGGGTCTTTACATAATTGTCCAGGTATGGTAACTTCCGCACTAAACCGTACAATAATCCCCATTGAGGCTTAAAATAAAGGATGCTTTGGAACTGAAGTGCATCTGGTTGGCTTGAAATACACTAGAGATAAGCTGTTTTTCCCTTGTATTATTTCAAATTATTGTTCTCATTTTGCTCGAACAAGACAGTGCTATAGCCACAACGTTTCGACCAGGCCATCATCAGGTAATTTGCTTGATATGAGATATTAGGTCGATTATTGTGCTATTCCGTACCGGTGATAGTTATTCATCGTTCTTGCTGAATCGGTGCTTCACTACATGATCCAGGGATTGAACTCACAACACGTGTAGAATCAACTCCTATATCAATTACGCCAAGCGTCCGACCTAAAGGGAAATAACTATATCTTATATAGTTTTTTCCGTGAGTATTTACCATTCTATCTATCTATATATATATATATATATATATATATATATATATATATATATATATATATATATATATATATATATATATATATAAAATAAATAGAAGGAACTGGTTAGGTAAATAATCCAAAGTCCCTTAGTATTTTAGTTATTATTTTTTTTAAATAGTGATCGATACAAAATAGAGCATAAATATAATTATTTATTTAAAAATATGATTCCAAATCGCTACATAAGAGGTCTCATGTTTCAAAACAAGAGCCGAAAACTTCAATATAATCCTTTAAATTAAATTGAGTTGAAATTAAAATGGGCCCTGTTCCATCTTCAAGCGAAATTTTTGTTGGAATAACATATATCTGAAATTTACTTGTTTTAAAAATTGAAATCAAAATCCCCATGGTAACAGCTAGGGCGACTTGTCTAAATTGGGTAGGCGAGTGTAGGGTGTTAATAATAAGTAGCGTTATAGAGATACTTTCTAGGTGTCAAGTCGGGGAAAGGTGGGGGTGTCAAAAATGAAACGGAAGTATTAACCTTCGTCTAGTTTGTTGGTCTATGGATATTTATTTATTTATTTTATTTTATTTATTTATGAAAGGGAATTGTGCATATAAAAAAAAAAAAAAAAAACGTTTGTTTTTTGACGACTTCATAAAGGGTTATCTTTTATGTAAGGTATTTAAACTACTAACTTGGGCTATGGATTATGAAGGGTGTTATGTTGTATGCATGTTTGTAGTTAATTATTCCTACTATGAATCTGATGATTGGGCTATTTGTTAAACAAGTTATATAATTTATTTTTTTTTTATCTAATAATTCAAACCAAAAATCTGATGATGCCTACAAAAAACCGTTAACACGTGTCTATTATTTAATAGATTATTATTATTTAGAAGTTTGATAATGTGCAATTTTTCATGGAGGCACAAAGGGCATGGGTCATCCCAAGCTTTACATATTCTAGCCTTGTCAATAATTTTCTATTTAACTTTTGGTGTCTTATTTGTTTCCTTCAGGTGCCAAAAATATTTTGATAGTGAAGTCTGATTTCTTTTGTTTATATTATTAAAGGAGCACTTATGCTGCCTCCATCTATCTTTAAAATTATTCTTCGTGGACCCAATGTATATCATATTAGTGCTAGGGCTCTCTGTGGATGAAATAGTACATTGGTATACCACAGAATTAATACAACATTTATTTTCTAATGGGAAGTCTTCTGGGTTTCTACAGTTACATAATTTTTCCCTTTTATCGTCTGATTTAAGTGCAGAGTTTTTATTAATACTGTTTTGGCATGGGGGTTTGTTCAAGATCTTATTATTGTGTTTTTTTATTATGCGTTCAAGATTATCAGAGCAGCTGTAGCTCAATTTTAGGGTGTTCTTATTGAATATATTACTAAGCTTACTATTGGTGGGGAAGTGTTTATTAATTAGAGCTAAGAATTTCTGTCCTAGTTTAATACTAACCCTTTGGTTGAACGGAGGGGTGTACCAAATGATATTTCTTTTCCTGTTTTTTTCCTATGCCCAGTGTAATTTTCTCTGTAGTTAATGTTAGCATTTTTATAACCACTATTTTTTAGGGCAGTGTTATAGAAGCTATTGTGTTGTTGGAATATTTCCTTGTTTGCGGAGTTAATGCTAATTCTATTTTCTATTGATGAGGGTATATGTTTAATTATTGATGAGGATGGTTTGACTTCGGGTGTATGTATAAAGGGTTAGCATTTGGTTTTCTATAAGGTTGGTATGTGTTGCCTGGTAAGTCTAGAGTTACGTCGAGGAAGTTAACCTTTTTCAAATTAGAAGAGACAGTTATCTTTAAGTTTAGTTTCTTAAATTCACTAAATATAATTTTTCTGATTTTTTCAATCTTAAAACTATTAGAACTCCTCACCACCATGAGCCCGTCATCTCTATACAGCCCGATGTCCTTAATATCGATTTCGCGGTGTGCCGTTAAATTGTACAGTATTAGGAGACCAACAAGGTCAGAAGACTCTGCAGAGTCTAACGATCCCATAGTGATGTCAAACAGGTCGTTATTGTTTTTTATCCATTGGTCCCCATTGTGAACGAGGACCGATTTCTTTGCGCTGAGGATAATATCCATTTCATCCTTTGTTAGGTTAGAATACACAGCAGCAAAGTCCAAAGCAGTCATAAATAAATCCTTCGAAATTGATGGGTAATAGTCCACGATATCGAACTGTATAAGGGTGCAATTCCGTTTATCATCAATATAGTTAAACCAATTGATAACATCTTTAGTATTGATCTATAATTTTAATTCCAGTTGTTTTTTTATTTGGCAGGTAATTTTTCCAGGATCCTTTTGCTGATCTTTCCTATGTCGGGTCAGGTAGGGTTAATTATTCTGGTCGCAGGGTGTTCTAAAAAGTCAGGCTTATGATCCTTAAGAGTTATATAACATTCTTTTTCAGTAAGTTTACCTACTCTATCGCTGATTTTTAATTTATCAGTTATTTTTTTACTAGTTTTGTTTATGCTATCAACCATATTAATGTTGTTGTTGCAAGCTTTTTTATAAGTCCTGGTTAAGTTTTTTTTTAATTAAGTTGTTGTAGTCGTCGACATCCAATTTGTAGAAGTTGCCGGTTTTGTCAGACTTAACTAATATTTTGTCACAATCATTAATGCTTTTAACTATTTGATCTAGATGTTTTTGGAAGTGGTTTTTATTTTGTTGAAAGACCTACTCAACATTATCAACAACATCTCCTTTCAAATACGGCAACTTCTACAAATTGGATGTCGACGACTACAACAGCTTAATTGATGATGTTGAATGTAGAATCTACATTCAACATCATAATTATATTCGCTCTACCCTGTATTGTGCACTCTTTTAAGAATAGTAATTATTGGTTATTGGAATTTATATATGCATACATATATATCCGTTTATATATAAATATAAATGTAGATATAAAGCCAAATAATTAGGAAGGATCAACGGTATATACATGCGTTACTGTGAATACATAGGTAAGCGAATAAATATTCAATTTAATATAAGGTGTAAACAAAATAGTGGTCAATGTGTTTAGACGGAGCTAAGAAGTATATATTAATAAATATACATAGACCTAAGTGCGTAATGCAACTTAGAATTTCCTGGTTTTACCAACTCTGAGTGAAAGCATGTACGTTTAAGTTGCACTACAAACGTAGGTATATTTATATTTATTATATATTTTATATATATTTATATATATATATATATATATTATATATATATATATATATATATATATATATATATATATATATGTATATATTTATATATATATATGTATATATATATATATATATATATATATATATATATATATGTATATATATATATATATATATATATATATATATATATATATATATATATATATATATATATATATATATGTATATATATATGTATATGTATATATTTATATATATATGTATATATATATATATATATATATATGTATATATATATATATATATATGGTATATATATATATATATGTATATATATATATATATATATATATATATATATATATATATATATATATATA